GCCTGGTGTGATAGACCCCAGCCTCTATGGATCTTGTGCTCAGAGCTTGTTCCTGTGCTGTCTAACAGTCCAGCCACTGGTAGGACTTCTGGATGTCAGCCACTTCCTCTATCTGCAGGGGCCTGTCCTTCCATGATGGTTCCTCCTCTTTCTTGGGTTTCTGCTGCCTTTGGTATTCACTGAGCATGCGGTCAGTTCTGGCCATCTTCCTGATGTATTCATGGATGTTTGTTGCCTCAATCGAGACTGTGGTACTGACACTCACTAGTCCCCGGCCTTCTACTTACATACAGCCTCAGGGTGTTGGACTTGGGGTGAAACCCTCCATGCGTGGTGAGAATCATTCTGATCTTGATATTTCTCTTACTTTGGCCAGCTTATTATCCCAGCAGGGTACCTGATCACGGGCAGGGTGTAGGTATTGATAGCCCGGATCTTCTTCTTACCATTCAGCTGACTCCTCAGGACATACCTGAGACAGCACTTGGCGACAGTGGGGAGGAAGATACCTCTGACAAAATGCCTCTTTTATTCTCAGGATTTGAGCCACTTGCATCTAATAACATTTGAGCATTTAACATTCTCCAGTTTGAAGGAAGTAACAAACAGAATGGAATATCTTTAGTCAGTGTTGGTGCTTCTAGTGCAGTCAGGTTTAATTAAGGCTTATAACTTAAAGACATAGCAGAGACAAGACAGCGCTGCCTCTCAGTCAGTTTGAAGCCCTTTAAACATTTTTACCATATGAAGGCTGCTATGTCACTTTCTACAATCCAGGGAGCAAATTTACTTGGCATCAAACTTACTTATTTAGGGTGTTAATTTATCGTAATAAATAGTTAAATAAGCTGACTGATGTCCAGCTTAGACATTTCCTCGGTATATTCGATGTTGTGCCAAAATACTGGTGGTGCCTGATTTAGTGGCAGGTTCCAGAATAAGCCTTGTTTTTGTAAAACTTCCCTTAGCCCTTTTGGATTTCCTTTAATCACCTTGTGTTTCTCTGAATGTGCTCATTGTGCGGGCACATTTGGAGTTTGCTTTTACCCATTTGTATCACCTCAGAGAGTCTGATTGTGTTTCTTCACAAACACTAGGTGGAGTGCTCGACCTACAGAGTGTGAATGTTTTCTCGGTGACTTTATTAGAAGGACAGAGGCACCCCTCCCCTGCCTGCGATTGGTCCGTGACTGTTCTATTCAAAGCCTTGGTTTCAGCCCTTTGAATGAGGGGGAACTGGTGCTTAGCAGCATGAGAGACAGACAGAGAGGCTTTAATCTCTTCCCAAGCTCTTTGGAGAATGCCTGGCTGTCATGGATCACAGTCATGATAGTGAAGTAGGAGGTTAAGTGATGCATATACAGCGGATTTCCTTTTTTCCCTCCCTCAACCTTGATTTTGTACTCCCTGTCATGACCTTCAGACAGAGAATATGACAGCTGTTGCATGGAAGATGTAACTT